GCTCAGAGGTATGTCCCATTTAGCCTTTTCCCGGGGCTTAGAAGGAAGTGCAATAAAGCGGGGTGAGGAGGGGACAGGAAATCCCACCAAAATCCATTTCACAGCCAACGGTCCCTCACAGTTCGGGTTTCTCTTGACCGATCAACTTCTCCAATGTCAGGAGAAACCTGGAGCAGGGCAGGGATGGTAACCCTTGACTGCTTGATAGTGAACGTTGGATTGATAGTGAGCATATAGTTGAACCTCTGACATGGGAATTCCTCTTTGTGATATATGCTATTTGTCTGAAGCCCTTGGTGAGTTTGAAGGTTCTCCTCATATCCATCTAGATTCAGCAGTGCCCACTGTTATTCCTGAATGTTGGGAGGGTACCTTTTGCAATACCTGAATTATTAAAAGCTACCTTGACCCAGATGGAGGGTGTAGTCATTTAAATGATGACACTTTTTTTCCTGACTCTCCAGACCTTCCTCCTCTCTATAGCAGCCTTCCCCAACCTTGTGCCTTTCAGACATGTTTAGACTGCAACACCCAGAATTCCCAGTTAATGGCCTGCAGGACGGAAATGCTGGAGCTTGTGGCCCAAATGCCTCTGAAGGCCACCAGGTTGGGCAAGCCTGGTCCATAGTGTTCTTGGAAGAGCCCTGAGAGGTTGGTTAAGCTCAGGGTCACTGACTGGCCCAGTCGGCCAGTGAGCTTCATGGTTGAGTGGGACTTAGAACCTGGATTTTCTGAGTCCTGGTCCAACTCTGTGGCCATTATGCCACACTGGATCTTAACTTACTTGTAAAGAACGTGCTTGTAAACCAGCCAGAGCCTATGGGAATGGGATGGTATATACATATTATACCATCATGGGATGGTATATACATATTATACCATCATGGTATAATATTACACCAGTATACATATTAATATATACATATTAAGATTAAAAAAACCCTTTCCATATCATTGAAGGGGCAATTTTCCTAATGGTTGTAGGTTTCCTTGTTGAAGTTGGCTCAGATATAACAAGGATATTCTAACTGGCAAATTCCAGAAGTAAACAATTCTTAAACTGTCAAAGAAAACTATGTAAACAGTTTTATTCTAAGCTGGCTTACTCAGAAGTAAATCCATTGAATTCTGGGAAGCATTCAGTCCAGTAAGTGCACGTAAGCTCTGTGAATTATGCTTTCCTTTTACATTGGACTGGATATTTATATTTATAAGCCACCTGGAGATGTCAAGATTTGTGTAAATTAAGATTTAGTCCTTAACGTTTAGAATTTTAAAAGCTGAACCAGATAAGGATTATGTCAATGTATTATTTTTTACATGAATCCACACTTTCAGCAGCACAAAATCGAGATTTGCTAAACTCACTCAGTTCGCTTCTCCCGCATCATCCAACCCATGCGCCAGCCCAGTGATCGCATCTTTGCCTAATGCTTTATGCCTAGCTCCATTACATCTGGTTTCCATGGCAACAGCATCTTTTCCAGGGGGTTCTCTATATGTCATTAATGCTCTTCCTCATCTCTCTTTGCTGCCAGGCAGACACCAGTCTAAGGCATAACTTAATTTTCAGAAGCAAAACTTGAACTAGGTGCATAAGACTTAAAATCGTGTGTGTGAGATGGAGGACATGGATTAAAGTTTAGAAAAGATCCTTTTCAAGAACAAGACAAATGTGTTTAAAATGTTACAGGATATTTCTGCAATAGGAAAAAGCAGCATATAAGAATTAGCAGGAGGTTCGCCAATTCTCCGCTTCTTCACCCATGTCGTTGCATCCAACTGCCCATACTCCTGCCAGTTTGACCACACATCCTTCTGTGTACACAACCCAATAATTGTGGCTAATTCACACAATCCTGCAAGAAGGGCTTCTATGTGAGTTGAAAGAAGGAGTGGACTTAAGAAGTGTGGGTGAGGTTTGAAAGAGCCATCTGATTTCATTTCTGAATCCCATTTCTGGCAATGGAAATTGTTGCTTTTCCACAGTGCTGTAAAGGTGCCTGAGAATTTGCTGTAACAACATAACAACAGCTCTGCTGGTTTAGTATTTATTAGGGTAAGGATGGAGAAATGTGTGCCTTTCAGTCTCTCCTGAATTCATTTTTGTAGAATTCAAATTCTTTCCAAGGAATTCAAATTCTTTCCATCCAATTGATGAAATGTGCTCATTTTGGCAAGTTTGCCTATTTATTGTATGATTTGTATCCTGCCCCTCTGCCAAGCAAAGCGGCACTCAAGATGGCACTCAAGGTAGGACACGAGCCCATTAAGAGCCATCGTTCCAACAAGGAAGGCTGACTAAATCTAGTCACCAATGGCTTCCCCAGAAGATCTTCAGGACTGGGTATCTGTGAGCAGTATCCAATGTTATTCTGACGTACAATAGGCCTGTTGGGACAGCCAGCTTAAGTCCGCTTTGATTCCATGGGACCGCTCTATGTAGGACCAATGTTGGATTCACCCTTGTCCCCACTCAGTCCCCTCCCAAACTGGGTGACTTTGGGTCTGTCGCAACCCAACCTATCTTGCTGTCCTGAGCTGGGTTTCCTCCCTTTGGACATTCAAAGCCACAGACCTTTCTTTGCAAAAAATTCATTATTGGCCAAGTGTTTTCCAGAAGCACAACCCCCCAGAATGAATCTCTGAGCATGCACAAAGTGGCTTGTTGATCCCAATCTAGTATTTACTTCTATGAACTCTCCTTTTGTATGTTTGGGCCCCATCCTTTTTGGGGAGCCTTTTGGAAAGGGCCTACTCTATTCGTGCTCGGCTTGGATAGCCCTCCTCTCCCAACATCACATCATGGGGCCAAGAGCCACAACTGCTTTGGCTGCCTCTGAGAACCTCCCTGTCCCAAGCCCCCTCCCCATAACTGCACACCTTGGCCCTTCCCAGAAGCTGCCAGAGCATCTGGAGAGCCTGACCTTGAGAGAAGCACCTCCACTTCTCTTACCTTAACATCTGGAATTGGCCCACATTTATTGATCCGTGGCCCAATATTTTCCGTTGTTCTTTAAATGACTGGATGGCCAAGCCTATGACGTAACAAAAGCAGAAGAGAGACCATGAGTAAAAATAAAGCAAACCAGATTCATGTTGAAAAACAATGAATATATAAATAAATAGCATAATTACATATATAGATAGCACAAGAGAGCACAAACTCAGACATCACAGATTGGTAATATGTAACGATGACTCCTTGAACCGGTCTTAACAATGATGTGTTCATCAGTGTGCGCACAATATGATGTGGATGGCCGTAAATTTCAGAACTTGAAGGATTGCAGGCATCCTATGCACTCTGGGAGGCACAGGAAGGTAATCGTTGCCTCCTCACTTCTTCCAAACGGCAGACCTCCTCTTGCTGCTTCTTTACTCCTTCTCCAAAGTTGCTTTCTGACCTCGGAGAAGCAGCCAGCACAGTTCTTTCCATACCATTTGTGCGAGGAGTGGGGAATCTTAATACAGATCTGAAACTCTGAGAGTAGAGCTATTTCCCACCCTCAGATTTGGGAATCAGAAGCCTCCAAACACCTTCCGGATGCCACATAGGGCCCACAGAAAAGCTCTGTGAATTGTGCCATTTTTTATTATTTTATTTTTTAAAAACTGCTTGAATGCCATGTTTGATAGTATACTTAACCAACGCAATTACCACTAATTGCGCTGTAGTGTAATTCTAGTTAATTACACTCATCGTACGTATATTTAAAATCATAACACTGGAGCCCTTCATTCTATAACACCCCATAATAAACCGCCCTGAACACAATCGCCTCCAAGGTTCTGTTGACACCATTTGAAAGCTGATCCTTTTGGCTTGTGACTTTTGGCTTTTTCCATAATTACAGCTCTCTGAACAGAACAAAAATGATTGTAACAAGTTTGCTTTTCCATTTTTGCCTGGAAAGGCTGCTAAATGCAGAGGTGAAAATAAAGGCACACAAATGTCTCTGAGGTGCAAAACAGCACAGGGGGCCGCTCCAAATATTTCCTGCTCCTTCACCTGCTTCTCAGCTTTCAGACTCAGCCCACTAAAGTTCTATAAAGATTTGCTCCTGTATTAAGCCTCTTTGCTTCCTAGACTAGTATTTCTGATGAAACAAGTATCAACAGGTACTCTAAAGCATACCTTTCGCTTCCCACTACCTAACAGGTATTCTTGGCTCTCAGCCTTAGGTGTCTGTTGGCCAGCTGGGGTAATCTGACTCAAAATATGCACGTTTCTATGCAAGCCACATGCTTTGGGAGGGGCAGTTCTCCCCTACCCACGCACTCACTCCAAGCAGCAAAAGAATAGCATTGTATCCTACAATCATCAAAATGGAGTCCCTTATAATCTAACAAGGACAGATTGCACCCATGGTCCATATTGCTTAGGCCACACGTTCAGTGTTAGTGTTAAAGAAACCCTACGGAGATCCCCTCTACCACCCAGTCATGAACCCTGGCCGATCAGGTGAAAGAGCCCAGCACATCATATCCATTCATTAATTTCGCAGGGCGGTTTGTTTACACACAGTGGTCTGTTCATTAGCCCCCATCCAAATTAATCTGAAATGCATGATCATCAGTTATGTCCAGCCATGATTTCCCATCACCGTTGATTCACTCACTGAAGACATGAAGGAAGGATGCATGTGGATCTCCTCTCCAGCTAATAAAACCAGAGTTTGATGGGAACTTCTCCCCAGTTCCAGAAAAGGCAATCAATCAATTTAGAGCCAGGTAGTGCAGTGGCTGGGGGTTGGTCTGGCACCGGGGAGGTCTAGGCGCTAGTCTCAATTTGGCCGTGAAGTTCACTGAGAGACTATGGAGAGGAGGAGGACACCGTGTGCTGCATTGGACTCCTTGGAGGAAAGGCAGCACATACGTGTAGCAAGAGAACAGAGAAAGAAATCCTGAGGATTTGCCATTGTTCAGCTCCTGAGTACCTTTGCAATGTCTCTGACTCCCTTTCTTTGTGTTTCCCACGTAGTTGACCGCCTGATTTCATGATGACTGAGGGTTTAGATCACAGATTCAGTTGTCTCACCTGGGAGCAGATTAAAATCCTGGATCAAGTGCTAACTGAGGTGATCCCCATTCATGGAAGAGGGAATTTTCCCACTTTGGAGGTTAAGCCAAAGGACATCATTCACGTTGTCAAGGATCAGCTGATCAAGAAGCAAATCACTGTCCGAGATACACGCCTGAATGGATCCACAGCGAGCCACATCCTGGTGAAACAGAATGGCACCAGCTACAAGGACCTGGACATCATTTTTGGCGTTGAGCTTCCGAGCGAGCAAGAATTTCAGGTTGTGAAGGAGTCTGTCCTGAATTGCCTCGTGGACTTCCTACCCAAATGTGTCAACAAAGAAAAGATCACAGCACAGACCATGAAGGATGCCTACGTCCAGAAGATGGTGAAGGTGTTCACGGATCACGACCGCTGGAGCCTCATCTCCTTGTCCAACAACAGTGGCAAGAATGTGGAACTCAAGTTCGTTCACTGTCTCAGACGGCAGTTTGAATTTAGCGTCGACTCCTTTCAGATTATCCTGGACCCTGTGCTGAATGTTTATAGTGGCACCCAGGGCCGGCTCTCAGAAGAGTCTCCCCTGTCTGTCATTGCGGAGAGCATGTACGGAGACTTCGATGGGGCCATGGACCACTTGAAGTACAAGCTGATTGCCACGAGGAACCCTGAGGAGATCCGTGGCGGCGGCCTGCTGAAATACAGCAACCTTCTGGTTCGTGATTTCAAGCCAGCCAATGACGCTGAAATCAAATCCTTAGAACGCTACATGTGCTCCAGATTCTTCATCGATTTCCCCGACGTGGCCGAGCAACAGCGGAAGATCGAGTCCTACCTGCGCAACCACTTCATCGGGGAAGAGAGGAGCAAGTACGACTACCTGATGACTCTGCGAGGGGTCGTGAATGAGAGCACGGTCTGCCTCATGGGGCATGAGCGGCGGCAGACGCTGAACATGATCATGCTCCTGGCTCTCAAAGTGCTTGGCGAACAGAATATCATCCCCAACGTGGCCAACGTGACCTGCTACTACCAGCCGGCTCCTTACACTAGCGACAGGAACTTCAACAATTATTACATTGCTCACGGTCAGCCACCCGTTATCTATCAGCCCTACTCCTTTCATATACACATGCAAAGCGGCATGGTGTAATAGGTCACAACACCTCCTTGCCTTACAGCAATGCCCACCCACTCCCAAAGCCTTGACTCCTCCCTAGTTATATTCAAAATAAAGTCCATGTTAGGCTCCATGCAGATCACCTGCGAGACTGCAAGTGTCTTGTCACAGGGACGAGCAGGCAAATCCCCCACCAGGATGTCTGTGAAATATTGACTTGCGCATTGAAGGATTTCTGTGTGGCCTAATGGCGTGTCAGGCTCTCAGCAAGGGCCCTGGACATGCGAATGCACATCTCTGCGTTGCGCGTCCTTTCTTGGTTGCACCGATCTGATTGGCTAGGCCAAGCAGAGATGGGGTGTTCCAGGGGGCGCAGATGTTGGGAGGGTGTGGCATGAGGGCTTCCCCAGGGCATCCCGTTCACTCTCCCCGGCTCTTCTTTCCAGTGGGGTGCTGCGGGCTCCCTTGCTCAAGAGGTCTAGGGGCAAAACCATTCTGCAGCTGGGGCCGGAGAGGGAGAAACAACAGGCACGGTCTATTTCGTTCAGGCCCTGCTTGTGAGCTCCCCGGGGACATCTAGTTTGGTTTCGTCTGCTCCAGCAGACCTTTTCTGATGATCTTATTGTAAGAGTTGGGACCATCGCATACAGCACAGAAGAAGGTGACTTAGTTGCTTTTGAGATGCGGTTGGAGCATAACTCCTGTCATTCCCATCCAGTATGGCCCTGGTTGCAGGGGTTACTGGAAACATCTGGTCTGAAATATACGGCAGGCAGTCAAGGTGCATAGTGGATTTCCCCGTGTGTTGTGGACGCGAAGAGTCAGCAAATGCTGGACAGCTTTTCCCACTTCTTGCCACAGTGCTTTCTGACTGCTCTGTGGGGACCAGATTGTGCAGATAAGTTTCAGCTGAATTGATTCCTCAACATGTTCCAGTTCAACCACTCCAGTGAGTGGGATTATGTGTGTATAATGGTGTATGTGGAAAGAAATCACTTATAGAATATTTTCAAGGATTATTTTTATTTGTAGGTTGATCATGCATACCAAACCGCTTGCCTTACAGTACACTGGTCATTTATATCTGCCGTTTCATTTTGGAATCCTTCTGTTGCCTTGCCCGGCTGTAAAAATGAGATTGGCAATTCCCAAATCCAGGTTGCTGTTCTGTCATGTGATCTTCATCTTTCAGAACTTTCCGAATTCCCATTTAAAAGGCAAACCAAAGTATCATGACTAATTCTGATTGAATGGCTAAGGGTAACTTTTTTGGAAGCTAATAGCACGTCTGAGAAACAATGAATGTTTTGTTTCTTAAGATACACCTGTCCCCCAGTCTTCTGCCCGGGGTCCCTCCATTCATATGCCACCAGCGCAACCTGAGACAGAGCCAGGGAGTAGCTGCCATCCTCACGCAATCTGGGCCTCCATCAAAACTGTCTCAGTAGCAATGCCTTTTTACCATCCAGGTTCACAAGGCTCATGTGGTTTGCAGAGACATTGAGCTTCAGCAGTTAGTATGCGGGACCTCCAATGTGTTGGGTTAACTCTAAGCCCCTCACCATTGGCCATGTTGACTGGAGCTCGTGGGAAACTAATTGCAATGCAAAACATCCAGAATTAGTAATTAAAAGTAGAAGCACCCGTATGGTAGGGAAAACTTCCTCTAAGAGTTCATCTCCTGTGACTCTGCCCCACAAAAGGTTTTGGAGAGGAGGATGCTGAGAAATTTCTCTAATTTTACCCAATTCATGGAACTACAGTTCCTTTAAGTTTAAATCTGTAGTGGACGTGAATCCTAAGAAGTATCAGCAAGAGGTAAAACAACATTTCAGAGCATTTTTACATTTCCCAGGAGCCAGGGATGAGTGAGAAATTCATTTCAATTCCATTTCAGTAGGAGTTTCCCCAATCTGCAACATTCCCCATATTCTGGACAAAAAGGACTTGAGATTGTTTTAAAATTAAAATGTGGGAGAAGCCAGACTCAGCAGTTTCAGGGTTTGGGGTGTTTTGCTATTCACAGTCTCAGCTTGAACCCCTGTATATTTAACTATGGGAAAGCAGAATAAGGTTTGCCCCATTTTTAAAGACAGGTTCCTCATCTTTAAGAGCTAGCCTCTCCAGATTAGGAACATTAAAATCTATTGGTTCTCGTGCTTATGGTGAGAAGTTCAGTTCAGTTCAGTTCATATTTAATAAGAATGCACCAGTGTTTACAAAGATTGATATCCGGCTGAGAAGGAACTTGAGAATTTTTTTTGAGAACTTGAGAATGTGGGGGGAAATCTGACAGCTCTGCTCATCCCAAGCAAGGTCATTTTTTAAAAAGTAAAACATCAACAGCATAGCACTCAGTCTTGACCTTTTCCAGTTTGGACATGTTCAAGTTTTGCTTTGGAAACCTGCACTGAATGGATTCTGTAACCAGGAGAATTATTCACTAGGTGTGCCTTGTAGTACCTGCTGGACTTTGAAGATGAAACCATACCTGTAAGTGCAGTTTTACATTTGAAAACCTACACATTGTATTCTTGCATCTGAAGTGGCTTTTGTTTTGAAAAAGTACGAGTGACAGTGAAGGACCTGCTGGCATTCATAAAGCCAGTCTACGCTGTTTTCTGCCAGTTATCTAGTCATTCCATTTCTTTTTTCTGTCTTTACCTTCTGGTTGTGTTTAAGTCCATTCAAACTACTCCAGCAGGTCTGGAACTGAACCCCTAAGCAGGCAGTGGAAACACTCTGGTTGACATGAATGGTCTTTGGTTAAGATTCTGTACATGTGTGCAATGCTTTTAAGTATGCAAAAAAAAATCCCTCTCAGGTATAAATTGAAACTCTTAATATAGTCAAAAGGTCTTGTGTGTCTTATAAATAGAGTTAACAACTGAATGTTGCCAGAGAGTAATTATTTGGGTAATCTATCTTGATAAACATATAAAATTTGTAACTGTAACATTTTGTAAACATTTCCTTCCATTAATTACATAATTGCTTACAAAAAGCCTCCACCTACTGGCACCCTTTGGATATTTTGGACTGCAAATCCTATCATCTCTGCCCAGTAGTCACGTGGGTGGGAAATGATAGGAGTTGTAGTCCATCAAGACCTAGAAGGCCTCATATTGGAAAAGCCTGGATTAAAAGCTCAATTGGATCTGGAAATGTTTAAAGGTGTTGTCGATTTGTTGTTGTTGCTTTGAACACAACTATCACAGAGGATTTATATGTCCAAACTGCTGCATGGAGAAACTTGGATGTGTAAAATCAATGTGGAAAACTCATTTCCAAGGGCTTGGACACAGCATTCTGGGAGCAGCCCCTCTGAAAGCCCAGGTGAGATCCATGTGGGCCCAAAGGACTTTTGCAACTCAAAGGATGCTTTTGAAAGGCAGCTATTACCTGGTTTGATGTCAGCACAGTGACATGATGCATTAAGCATTAGCAGTATCAGTCTGTCTCCCTTCCCGTCCCTTATTCCCAGATATCTGGACCCTTGTGGGGACATGGCAATTCTCAGCTTATTGTGCAGCCAGAAGCTACCAAGCTGGCTTTAAAGGGATACAAGTTTTGTGGTAGAGCACCTGGATAACAGGTGTGGCAGGGGAAACCTGCATCACTGGGCTCCTTATCCACTGCAGCTTTTATCTTGAGCTTTATAGAAACGATCTATGGTGCTCCATGGTGGCAAACCTCTTTGGGAATAGAGTTCAGCACTATGGCTAGCCCTGGAGAAGGTCAAACTAAAACGGATCAGGCACCCCACTGACACGGGAGCCCCCAGCCTCTCCCAGTAGTTTGCATTAAAAGGACACAACCTGGCGACACCAGATCAGACCGTTCCGCTGGCTCGCTCACTCTACACTGATGCTCCATGTCATCCCCAACCCAGCTCCCTACCAGAGTGCTTGACTGAACGCCCAGTCAGGCCACCGTGGCCATTGGTAAGGGATGGAGGACTCTGTCCATTTTGGTTTCTCCCCATTTCTCATTTCGCCCAATCTTAAACATGGCTTGTCTTGAATTTTGAAAAATAAGGCTTAAGCTGGGTTTGCTCCAAACCTTGAGGTTTTTTTTTTCCTTTTAAGTTGGCAACTAAATTCAGTGCACACTGCCCCTCTCTGTTGTGCCTAATCGACACAAGTTTCACAATGGGTGCTGCTGAAGCAATGCATTTTAATGGCTACCTTCCTTCCTATAACGTGCATTTGGACAGACTTTTTTTTTTTTTACTTTACTGAAGAAATCCATTGAGAGATTTGAAGAAATGCTGCTTTCAAAGAATCACTGAGGTTGCATTCCCAGGGTGGCCCAAACAGGCGACAATTAAGGAAGGGCTCCTTCCCATGTGGCTGCCCTTAACCCTCCAAGCTGAGAGTGTTGGTGCACATCCAGGGGGAGGTGGGAGGAGCACAGGAGTAAGGCAGACTTCCCAGCTTCCTCCCTCCTCCAAATCATGCAAGGGGCAGATCTGAGTCGTCACATATGACTCTTATCCTTGCAAGGCGAGAGGGAGGCACCTCCCAAGACGGCAGGGCCTCACTCCTCCCCTCGCCCCCAGTGCCCTTCCCTGTGCTGGCTCTAAAGGGGGTCATCTAACGCTGAGGCCCAGCCAGCATGGAAAGAGGGGTTGCGCACATGGACTCTGTGTGCAGAGTCCTGCTTCTGACTCTGAAGTGTCCTCGCGAGGTCAGAGCTGAGTTTCGGTGATGGAAGTTCCTCTTCAACAGGACTAGAGACTGCCAGGTTGGGGAAGACTGTTTCCCTTTGATCCTCCAGGGCTTCAGACAAGGGTCTTTCTCAGCCCTACCTATGGGGAGGCAAAGCAGTATAGGAAGTGAGGCTGGGAGTACGGAAACCTGGATTCCAGTCTTCAGTTTGCCATAGAGCTCACTGGGTGACTTGGGGTCATGACCATCTTCCAGCCTAGCCCATCTCCCAAGGTTGTGGGGAGGATAAAGAGGAGAGAAGGGGGATTGCGTTAGCTACTTTGGGTTCCTTCCGAGAGGGGAAAAGTGGGTTGCAAATTTAAT